TTTGTATATGGGAGCACAGACACTCAATCAAGAGAGTTGCAATGGCAGGAACTGGAGAGGGATAAGGAAAGTTGGGGGGACAAATGGTGTATTGGGGGTGACTGGAATGCTATAAGAGGAAGTAGTGAGAAGAGAGGGGGGAGGATCAGATCTGAGAGAAGTTTTGACAGATTCAATGACTTTAGTGCTAATATGGGAATGATGGAGCTGGCCATGGAGGGCTATCCTTTTACTTGGGGTAACAATAGGCAGGGGGAAGGGTTTGTGGAGGAGAAGTTAGATAGAGTTTTTGGATCTTTTGCTTGGGTGTCTTGCTATTCAGGTGCCAAAGTTCTCTCTCAGTTCAGGAGTGCATCTGATCACTCCATGCTGATTCTGGATACTGGCATTCAAGAACCTAAATTTTTCAAGAGGTTTGTTTTTTATAAAAGGTGGGTGCAGAGAGAAGGGTGTGCTGAAGCAGTGGAGAAAGCTTGGAGTGAAGATGTGGAGGGTAATCCAATGGTACAAGTTAGAGAGAAGATCAAGAAAACTAGGATGGCCATCATCAAATGGAAGAAGGTTTTTCAATCAGATAATGTGAAGAAAATTGAGGCTCTGACATTAAAATTGGAGGAGATGAGGGTGTTAGGGGGACAGAGGAACTGGGAAGAGTGGGAGAAAATGAAACACGAACTGGATCAATAACATATGGAGGAGGAATTGTTTTGGAGTCAAAAGGCTAGGCTACAATGGTTGAGAGAAGGGGACAAGAACACTAAGTTCTTTCATGCTATGACCTTACAGAGGAGGAAAAGAAATGCAATTGAAAGATTGGTGGTGGATCAGAATAGAATGGTGGATTCTCAGGAGCAGATTGAGTCAGCTATCACTGATTTTTACCAGAAGTTGTTTGAATCTGAGGGATCTTGGGGAGAGGCTGAAGTGCTATCATTAATTCCTCAATCAATTACAGCTGCAATGAATGAGGTTCTAATAGCTCCTGTGGAGGAAGAAGAAGTGAAGGCTGCTCTATTCTCTATGAATCCAAACAAGGCTCCAGGTAATGATGGCATGACCCCCCTTTTTTATCAGCATTTCTGGCCTTTGTTGAAGGAAGATATATGTAATGCTGTCTTATTCTTTTTTGCTTCTGGGAGAATGAGTACTAGTTGGAACCATACTGTGGTGACTTTGATTCCTAAAGTGGATAATCCAATTTCTATCAATCATTTTAGGCCTATTAGTCTCTGCGGTGTTACATACAAGATAGTGGCTAAAGTGTTGGCTAGTAGATTGAGAGAGTGTTTGAAATTCTGCATTCATGAAACACAATCTGCATTCATACCTGACAGACAGCTCCTTGATAATGTGGTAATTGCCCATGAAGTCATTCATTTTCTCAATAGGCATAGGTCTGGTAATAAATGTTTTATGGCAGTTAAGCTTGATATGATGAAAGCATATGATAGGGTGGAGTGGAATGGTGTGGTGAAGACAATGCTCCAAATGGGTTTTCATAGAACTTTTGTTCAGTGGATCTTTGCTTGTGTCTCAACTGCAGTGTATTCTTTTAATGTTAATGGAGGAGTATCTGGTTTTGTCACTCCATCTAGGGGTATAAGACAAGGGGACCCTTTGTCCCCTTATCTTTTCATTATTATCTCTGAGGTGTTTTCCCAGTTAATCAGAACTGCAGTGAGGGAGAAGGCTATTCAGGGCCTGAAAAATTCTAGAGGTGGAATCACTTTATCTCATCTTTTGTTTGCTGATGACACTTTGGTGTTTTGTGCTGCTGACATTCCTAATGCATTAAGTCTGTTGAGAATTCTTACAGTTTATCAGAGTTTTACTGGGCAAAGGGTGAATCTCTTCAAGTCTAATGTGTTTTTTAGCAGAAATACTAGTGATTTGATGAAGCAAGCTGTCTGTCAGACTCTCAATGGGATTTCAGTGTGTTCCTCAACTAGGTACTTGGGATTGCCAATGGGAATGGGGAGGTCCAAAAAAGAGGTCTTTCAGTTTGTTTTGGATGCTGTGAGGAAGAGAATTCATAGCTGGTCTAACAAGTTTCTGTCCAAGGCTGGGAAGGAGGTTCTGATGACTTCTATTATTAATGCTCTTCCTGTCTTTGTAATGTCATGCTTTTGCTTGCCTGTGAGTATTTGTCAGGATATTGCTAGAATGAGTGCTGAATTTTGGTGGGCTGGAGGTTCTGATCAAAAGAGAGGGTTATTTTGGGTGGCTTGGAAAAAAATTACTATCCCAAAAGAGGCAGGTGGGCTGGGGTTTAAAGATGTTAGGTTGTTTAATGATTCCTTAATTCTTAAGCAAATCTGGAGATTATGTACTAAGCCTAACACTTTGATGACTAGAGTGCTTAGAGCCAAATACTTTCCTTCTGGTTGTGTGTTAGAGGCTAAAAAACACAGTTCTGCATCTTGGCTTTGGAATTCTTGGATGAAAGTATTAAACCTGTATAGGGATTGCTTCACAAGGGAAATAAAGGATGGCCTGAATACTAAAATCCTTTCTTATCCTTGGGTGAAGGGTCTAATTGCAGGTAAACCAGTTCTGAAAGAAGGGGTGAGATCACTGCCTTGTGTTTGGGTGAATGAGTTGATGAAAGGTGATGGCAGAGCTTGGAATAGAGAACTGATTCAAAACCTTTTTACTGAAGCATCTTGTAAAGCCATTCTGGAAATTAAAGGCTTGGATCCTGCTGCACGAGATAGATGGGTGTGGACAGTGGATTTGAAAGGTATGTTTTCTGTTTCCTCAGCTTATTCAGTAGCAGTAAAGAAGAAGATTTTGAGTCTTGATATACCAGGGTGTAGTTCTAATATTACAGCTGATAAGAAGGCTAGAATGAGGTGTTGGAATCTGAGGGTGAAAGGCAAGATTAAGCATTTTATTTGGAGGTGTTTTACTGATGTTTTACCTGTTAATGATAATCTGAGACTTAGAGGAATGCAGCTAGATAATGTCTGCCAGTGTTGTGGGGAAAGTGTGGAAACTGTAGAGCATCTGATGTTTACATGTTCCAGAGCAGCTATGGTGTGGAGTTTAATGCCTGTTAGTTGGGATTCAGCTGCTATACCTATTGATAAATTCAAATATTGGTGGTGGAGCATTGTTGAACTAAAGAAGACACCTACTTCTGAAGCTCGGATACAACTGTCGACGTATATATTGTGGTGGCTTTGGAAGTCGCGCAACTTGTGGGTTTTTCAAAAGGTATGGATGCCGGAGCCGGTGATTGCGAGAAATGCTTTGAAGGAGTGGTCTGAATATAATGGTTGTAGTTTGTAATTTGTGTTTGTGTTTGTTTGAGTTCTTTTCAGTTTGTTGTGTTTTTGGGTTGTCCGGGCTAGGTTCTTAGGTTCAGTGGCCCGGTTGTGTTTCTCTTTTATGTTGGTTGGTTTGTTTTTGGCTTGTTTGTCTAAAGGGTTCGAATTTATGCATTCGCCTTTAGACGTTTGTAGCTTTTGTTGTGGTTTGTGTCTATGTAGTCCACCGTTGGAGTGGATCTCCTTTGTGTTGTATGGGTTGTATATTCGAGCTAGTTTGCTCGCCGGTTTGTACTTGACCTTTTATTATTAAGAGTATTTATTATCGTTGGAAAAAAAAAAGAGATGCCGAGATTCGAGAATTATTTTGGGAGAGATTGAGAGAATTTGTTTGGTTATCTCTACCGAAATTGTGGGAGGATATTGTTAGTATATAACTAAAAGATAAGAATCTGTTAAATAAGGATAAAACCTTTTTAAACGGAGTATTCATAACTAATAGAGATAAATAAGGAGATGAGGTTGACTTCCACGTTTTAAACCTACAATTAGGCCACAAATTACTCACGTGAATATGTATCAAAAATTTGAATTCCACGCGTTAAAGACTTGCCAAAATGGGTAAGTCAAATTGGTTGACTACGAATTTTTTAAAACTTTCCCAAAAGAATTTATTGACCTCTCTTTTTCAATATATATAGATGTTCAGATTTTTTTTTGCCTTTTTTTAACAAATTTAACAACCTAGGCGGGATTTTTTAACAACTTTAACAATTATTAAGCTAATTAACTAAATCTAATTTATTAACTCCTAATTAAGTAAGAAGATAATTAAATATTAAAGAAAATAAGATTAAAATGGAAAAGAAAAAGAAGAGATAATTATGTTGAACCGAATAGAAACGGTCATCTCTTCCCAAATCTCCTCCCCGAATTTCAGAAGGTCCATCGGGATTTTTTTGTAGCCAATCCTTCTCCTTTAAAATCCTCAGTCAGCCCTAAGATCTCCCTCCGTATCTCACCCTCAATTTCACTCGTGAAAATCCTCGATTTTTCCTGCAATTTTCTCCTTCGGCGAGACAAACATAGCAAAAGCGTCGTCCGGCCACAAGCAGCGAGCCTCGAATTTTGACGGCCAGAGCAACCCTAGGCCGCGAGCCCCAAATCCTGTCTTTGTTCCAGCGTTGCGTCGTCCGTCAAACCCATCGGCATTTTGAGACATCCCGGCGTGTTCGAGCTCACATCTGACTTTCGGTGACCCTCCTCTGCATCCGACCTCAAGCCGCGACCGGCGACCTTCACAGCACCACAGAGTCGACCGACCTCGAAATGCGTTCGACTGCATACATAGAGGAGAGCCTTTTTCAGCAATCAACCAAGCCGAGACAAGAGCACTCCGGTGACCGAGCAACCTTTTTCTTCCGGTGTTTGTGTTCCTTTTTTTCTGACACAAGGTATATTGGCTAATCCGACTCTTGAGTTTGATTGGTGTTGGAATTTGGTTGGGATATTTTGATCGTAACAGTCGAGCCTCTTATATTTTCAAGTATCGAACCTCTGCAGTTGGCATATTTTCAAAAAACATTCGTGAAGCTTGAACCTTTTTGGGCCAAACGACCGTCATCAGAGCAAACCAGTCGTCCAACTTGCATAGAAGGCATCGCAGCCTGCCCGTGCCATCGTTGGTGTGTTGTCGCAGGCGTGGCACAACTCAAATATGCGCTCGTGGTTGTCGTAAAACGCAACCTATCTGGTCAATTTGCTGTTGAATCCATTACAAGTAATAAAAGAAAAGCAAAGGTCGATGGTGATGGAAATTTGATCGAGGACCAAAAAGAAGGATGTGATGACAGTGGAGTTTAAGATATATATTCTATTAGTTGATGTTGTGTAGGTTTAATCAATTTATTTAGTTGGATTTGATGAACAATTTATATTTCTTAGGATTTAATTTACGGGTTGAGTTTAGTTAATGTTTTTCAGTCGTTCAATATTTTCTTAGAAACCTCTAGGTAACATATAGTTGTCGAGGCTTTTGCTTTAATATATAAATAAGTTGGTTGATTTTATCTATTGTTCTATTAGTTTGGATTGAATTGTTTGTATTAATATATCACACCAAAACTATAAATCTTGGAAAACCCGACAATTGGGTTATTCGAAATGCACGTTCTAATCACACTCTTTTGTGAGCAATCAAATCGGTTTTCACGATTTTTCAGATTATTATTAAATTTATGGTTTTCAATAATATATTATTATATTGATCCAATTGGAAGTTTACATAAATAAAAATGTCATTTGATATCAATTTTATTTTTATATTTCATATAGATATATTTTATATTTTATTGATTCAAAGAATCCAGACTATATTTTTGTTACAAATATATATCTAGAATACAAGTAACTAATCTGGAAGTTTACATAGATAAAAATATCATTTGATATCAATTTTATTTTTATATTTTATATAGCTATATTTTATATTTTATAGATTCATAGAATCCAGACTATCCAAAATACTAATGGTTGTTACAAATATATATCTAGAATACAAGTAACTAACCGGATAAGGATTTGAAAAAAATATCCTACTGATAAATACTAATGATTTACTTGGAATATAATCAAACGAAAATGTCATTTAACATAATTTAGAATTTTAATCGCTTATTAGTGCAATGATATATTTAGCCAAAAATTGCACCAATTTTTTTATAATTCTTCTACCATTGGGTTGTTAAAACCAAATATATCTATAACCATAAATCCTATTTCCTAATCCTATATGAATTTGAATTAAAATCTACAACCGTATACTAATATTTGAATTACTCATAGAATCCACAATATCCATAATAATAAATGTATATGGTTGGAATAAAAAAAATATGTACAAACTAATTAACTATTCCGATATGTAGTTAAGAAATAAGATTGATAAGCATGAGCTTATTTGTTAAACTAATCCGATCTTTTATAAAATGATATTTTGAATATAAAAGTTATACCAAGATTTTAATACTTCTTAGACTCCACAATTTACAAAATATCTTTGGTTGCTAAAATAATATATCTACAATCCAAGCAACAAATCAAAAACTATATACTATATATTTGCAATAAATCAAAATGCACGTTCTAATCACACTCTTTTGGTTTGGAAAAAAAAAATGGGTATATTGGTATAAAAACTTGGTTTCATTTTTAGGAAAAAGTAATGATTCTTTTCATTTTTTCTTAATCAAAGTCTTGAATTTATTTTTAAAAATAAAATGGCATGAAAATTCCTATAAATCTCTACTTTTTTCCTACTAATTTTTTTTAATAAATAAGATCCTTGACTTTTTAAAAAAAAAATGTAATTTGTTAACTAATAACTAATAATACGCAATTTTAGATAAAATTCGAACACCCATGTAATATTTTACGTGCAATAAAATCAAGCCAAAAATGTTGTACAGAAGAAAGTTCTCAATAATATATAAATTATATTTTCATGATATTTTTAATTTCACGAGACAATTTAAATAAAAAAATACCTTTTAAAAAGCAAATAGGTAATAAATGCTCATGTGCATCGCACGGGCACTGTACTAGTGGGTAGAAAATTAAAAGAGAAAAAATCTTCTACTGGTGGGAAACAATAGTCCACGTTTATCTAGGAAAAAGCTTTTTAATATTTGTATTAGACATAGATTTATTCAACAACTGTCCACAACTTCATCTTATAAGATACTTTGAAAATCTATTAGTTGTTAAATCTTATACTGCCAAGAACAGGCACTAAGGATGTTTGTGCTCCTACAAGGTCTTTAAATGTTAAATGTTATGACAACAGGCAGCGTAACAAGTTAATTCAAAACCACATCTCAAACTCACATATAAAACACAAGTTAATGCAAAGGAGTATTAAACACTCACAAAATTAACAATGTGCATAATTCAAAACCAAGGCATAAAAATTTCATCAAGATAGCAGAAGATAAGGCAAGAAAATCTCTGGTAGGGCCATTACCTGGATAGCAAATGGACACTTAACGTATTGCAACATAATCAAATCCAAAACAGGCATAACATTGTGCCAAAAAACATGTAGCTTGACATACTACCTAAGTTGCTGCTATTTAATACTTTATAGGAGCAATAATGTCAAGCTGTGAGCCCAACTTCTCCTCAGCAACTTTCTCAGCCTTAACTCTCAGTTTGGTCAATTGCTTCTTCCTCTCATAGTGTGCCTGAGCTCTGTCTTTCCTCTTCTTCTCAAGCTCCTAGAGTACACAACAATCACAATATCATGAACACAAATAATATTGCATTTTATAACAGATCAAGTCCTCAAATAATCAAGAGGAAAGAAAACAGACATATAGACAAAAGGAATGCCAGCTACAATCAGTAACTTTAGTGGGATTTTATGTCCTGAAGGCTGATGACAAGCAAGTTGATATAAATAATGGCGGAGTGTGAAAAATTATGAAGTCACAAGACGTGTCAAACTGGATCTGAGACAAAAATCTTAAAACATATTTTGAAGTTGAATAGGTTCCTTGCATATAACAATCACTGTAATTTAAAGTTCGACAGTTGCCCAAAAATAACGGTGAAGCATGGAATAGTCAGTAAAAGAATATAAACATGTTCAAACAATTGGGTCGTCCAAAATATTTTTAGACATTTAAACATTTATGGAAGATAAGGCAAAGAACAGACAAGGCAAAATAGTAAAACAAAGTATCTACTATCAACAAGAATTAGAAACGTCAACTCCTGTACCTCTTCAAAGTCATATAAAATATCTAATTATATATGGAAGAGAAACAGA